AATAAGTTGATCAATATTTAACTTATATTTATCATATCTAATATATTTTTTACAAAAATATTATTTTATAGAGGAATAAAATTTTACTTTAAAAATTGATCTTCGCTATTCTTCTTACAAAATTTCCTTCAGAAGAGATTATCTATAAAGTATAATCTAAAATACTTTTATTTCACTTTATTAATCAACCTAAAAACAATCCTAATTTTAAAACATGATGGATATTATTTCTGACATCGATAGTGCTCAGATTGCAAGAATTTGATTAAGTATCATTTCCTTTAAAAACTTAAAAGCTACCAGAAAACTTGATATATAAAATAAAGCACTCTTTTGCATATGCTCCCTTGAAAATTGCCTATCATTGTCGTAATTTCAACGATTTTTTATTCATCTCGTGTTAAAAGAAAATCTCTAATATGTAAAATATTAATATATTCTCTTTCGAAGGATCTAAAAACCAAAACATATGTAAAAATTGCTACACAAAAATATTATGCACTATTTTATAAAGTAATATCTTTACTTATATAGTTTATTCTCAAGATTCAAAGCATGATTGTACAATTCTTCTCTTATTTCTTTCATATCATCTCATATTTGTAAATAACCTATAATTTGTGTTTCAATCTAAACCACAGGGAGCAAGTACAATTTTGCTACATAAAAATGTCATTAGACGGTTAATTTTCGTAAACGAATCACGTCCCGCGATATATGAGACTTCTCAGTGGAGTATCATGCGAAAACTTTGCTCAGATATTCTACGCCGAGCAAATTTCATAACCGTGTATCCGTTATACAGGAATGACCATTTCATAGCACGCGACGAATGCATTAGAAAGCATACATGTCCTGCAACTTTCACAAAGTTTAATTACTGGTTCTTCATGACGCCGGTAGCCATGCGAATGAAAGCCCAGAATTTTCCTGCTCGATGTTTGAACCACATCCAAGAAAAGACTCCGTTGATCACACGACTATATAAATGTAAACTGTGAATTAAAATAATTTTTTATTCGTGATTATATTGTTTCATAATTATTAATCTCTTCTTTAATAATCTTGGAGAATTGTTTTAAATTTTTTAACAAATATTAAATCACGATCTATTTCACAAACGTGTAAAATCATTAAAAATTATAGTTTATATATTATCTTATAATCTTAAAGAATTATTAAATTATTAAATTTTATTAAATAAATATTAATTTGTTGCATGATCGATTTCACGCAAATGTGTAAAACCATTCAAAATTAATAAGTGAATAAATATATTAAATAATATTTGTTGCATCTCAATTCGAAGTTTAAATGAATATAATTTTGAATATAATTTAGCTGAATAATATATTATTAATTGTTTTATTAAAAATTTTATTAAAAATAAACAAACTTTGTGTTATGAACTTTGTCGCAGTCGAATTATGTCGAACTTAATTGCTTTTCTCTCTGCGTCAGATTTAAACATGACGTATAAAAATTGCAATTAATACGTGACAATTGCATATATCCGGATTGTGAAACTGACGTGTAAAAATTGCCAAAATAATATTTGTGGAACTTTTAAAAAAATTACAATAAAGGAAGGAACAATATGACATCAGTGAAATGCATATTGTTAAATATAAACGTAAAATAAATCAAAGACTTATCAAAATTTTTATACTAATTTTAATCTTGCTCCCTATGGACAAAAACGTTGAATTTCTTAAGCCAAACTTCTTTTAATATTATCTTCAAATCTATAGACAAATCTATAGACAAAAGATCTTATTTAAAAATTCGGCCAGCACTTTATTAATTATTAATTTTGTTCATAATTAAGAGTTCTTAAGGAACAAGTACAGGTGACAATAAATATCAAAAAAGCAGTATGAAATTTATAACAGAAAATAAACGAAATGAAATCATTTACTCGAACTATTATGTCTACCAAGTGGTATATTTTCTTTTTTTCAAGAGGAAACTTTAATTCGGAGGAATGATGGATTTCGTTCCTTTTATATTAACTTAACACAACTTTTTCACTATTCAGAAGACGTAATTATATTTTCTGTTTCCTCTCCCTCCCCTGTACACGAACCATAAAAATCGTTCGAGGTTAAATCCACGCGAAAGTGCCTCGTGCGAAAGGTCGGAAGGTTAAGTGGCAGAACTCGGATCAGATCCGCGATTTCTTCGACCTTTTTTCCTCCTTGTATTCCATTTCTGGTTACTTTCAATCTTCCATCCTCCTTTGTACCCGTTGCTCGAATCCACGAGTGCTCGTCGGTTCAGAATATTACGGACGTTATTAAATAATTAATAGAAAAAAAAAGGAAAAGAAAAGAAAAAGAAGAAAAGAAAAGGAAGATCAGCAGGGAACAGTAACGATTTCTCCGTTCCCTCTCTACCATTTTCTACGCTTCATTTCCACTGCATTCTGAATCTTACCTCGTTTTTATTTCGTGCCTTCTTTAGCTTCGTTTCCTTTTGCATCCAGACAAATTTTGTCCATTGCTTCGCTATTGTATCTCCTCGTCTACCGATTGTTCTGGGATTTCGAGGTTTCAGCAACGCTTTGTCGCTTTCTAAACGAAAATCGCGTTGCATCGAGAGTGAACGATCGTATCTGAATACTCGAGACAGGAAATCCTCCTCGTGCAGCGGAACGTCGAATGTCGCGAGGATCGATTTGTCGTTGATTTGATCTTCGCGGTACAAAGGTGTCCTGTTGCTGATTGGAGGAACAGAGGATGCATCGATGTGATACGAGGATGAAAAATGTTTTGAGAGATTTATTGATAAACGAATCGAATTTAATCAATATAGTATAATATATGTTACAATTATATATAATTATATATTTATCAAATAGAAAGACAATTAATGGTGGAACTCCTATCTATGATTGGAAAGAAGATATTTATATCTTTAATTGTTGTCATGAAATTAAAATAAGTAAAAACATAAATTGTTCGAAATTTTGAGATTTCCTTCGAGTTTTCTTTTTGAATTATAATTCTATATAAATAAATAAAGGATGAAAGATATTCATTATTGATCAGAATTGAGAATTAATAAATCAAGAAACATATAAAAAAGTATTAATATAAAATGAACACGGTTTATGCATGAAATTAATGGCTGTTTCGATAAATTCTTGCCGTTCCATAGATCACAAATTGTAATATTTTTCCAAGTTTCTGAAATTCGATCAAACCGTTCAATGAACAATCTCAAGCATTCCAAGAATTTTACTTTTCCGCAATCTATAGTATTCTTCGTTGTATTGATTCAACGACGATTCAGACGATTAAGTAAGTTTTCGCTTTCAAAGAGTTTGAATTTGCTTGAGATGTAAATTTAAAAAATTATCGAATTATTTGAAAAAAAATAATTATTGAATATAATAATTATTCGTTGCAATTAAATAATATAATACGTGATAATTTTCAACATTTTAACTTATTATATCTATTTACTCGTAAACTGAAAAAATTATTTAACCATTAATAGATGGTAGATTGTATCATATATCCAATTTTCTAAAAATACAATTGTTACTTCAAAGATGATACATTACATTATAATCTTTTTCTTTCATATTTGATACAATAATGGAAACGAATGACAAAAAAAAAAGAATCTTCGTAAAATAACACAATTCTCGAAATGGGACAAGTCTATTCGTTCAGATTGATCTATGATTACTTTTTCCAGACATCATATATCAAAAAATGGTATATTTTAATAACGCTTTAATAAAGCGTTCTCGTGATTTACGCCCTCAGCAAATAGTGTTGTTAGCAAACGATGGCGCACCTGATAAATCAACGATCGTGAAATGATTCATGGAATGAGAATGCAATTTACTTGAACGTTGTGCTCGCATTTTCTCCGCATTTTTACCTATACAACAAGCTTGACGCGTCCGTAAAAATCCTATTACAAAGACGCCATGCAAGACGGATGTCCGCGGCTTACCTGGGAAATCTTGGCGAAATTGTACTCCTCACAGGGATTAGAATCACCGAGCCTCATTTTATTTTATTTTCCATTTCCTCAACCGTGTCTCGTGAACGATGAAACGATCCTCCCTTTGTTACCGGGAGATATAATCGTATGAAGAGAGGGGTGCACAGCAGATTTATGGTGAGATCATTCAAATGAAACTAAGGAGAATATATTAGATTTCTAGGTTTCCTGTCGTTTAAAAAAATGAATATGTCATCATCATGGGATATGTAAGTATGTGAGTATTTTACATGAATAATTTGTATGAATGAAATATATATTGTTTAATCAAGTAATTATTTAATGCGATAATTATTTATATATTATTTTTCTTTTGAAATTTTTGAATCATTTCTGATACTTAATTGAGATTAAAATAAATGAAATCAAAATTGGTTTAAAACAAGCTAAGAAAACAATCGTAGCGCAAAGAAATAAAATGTATTTATAATGGTTTTAATTTAAAATTTTTAAACATATAGTAGCTACAAAAAGTGTGTTTATTTAGTATTGTATTAAAAAAAATTTGTAAAAAAATTTAATTTTCTGTAGAATTTATATATAAATTAATTAGGTCGAAGTATATTACGTTTTATATTATTTAAACAAAAGATTAATATGAGAAAAATATATAGAAAATAACAGAAAAATCATTTAACTGAAAATAATATATTCAAATATTTTCTAAAGTCTTGTATATTTTGATACGTTTATTAAATTAACAATAAAGTTACAATAAATATATTTTTACATTTAAAGTATTTCAGTTTGAGTGCAATATAATTTTATATTAATATAATTTGCATTAAAATTCAAGATCTATCTACATTGTGTATTTATTCAAATGCCAATTCTAACAGGTATGTTGAATTCTAAAACTGAATTTAAGATATAAAGTTGATAGGAATTTTATTCAAGTCGAATGAATACTTAATTTTGTGTAATAATTTATTGAGAATCTAGATCATCTTACTCATTACATATTCATAAATTTGTTGCAGAGGAAATAATCGCTAATCTACCACCTCTTCGAATTCCTCGCTTGAGGCACCATCGAGTAACAGATTGGGATCCTTATTTCGAGAATGCTGAAGGTCAGGGTATTAATGGATCCCAAAATGTTGCATTGCATCTTGGTGCGACGGCTCTTCTCGATTGCCGCGTCGCCATGCTTTCTGGAAAGAAGGTATTTTTTTCATTTTTTTTGTCGGATATTTTTTTATATAATATCCTATATCACAAAATATTTTTACAAACGATATTCTTTATAAGAATATTAAATATTGATAATTTATCAATATATTATATTATATCCAAGTTGCAATTTAATCAATGATTTATATTTTTTCATGATGTTTTGTTTCATGATCTTTTTTATAAGATAAATGAATTAAAATGTTTCAATCAAATCTACTCTTTTTCATAATATTATGATATCTTATTCAGCTTTTAATTAATTCCAATATTTTTCATTATTAATTACGTAACAGAATGACAAAAATTCACAGTAAATTGCTCCTTTTAAGTCAGTGAACGCGGATGAACTTAATTACAGAATCTAGTAAACTACGATATAACCGGATACGATTATTAGTGATCCATAATGTACCACGATCGCGGAAATTCTAACGCAGGATCATCGTGCAATTGTTGAATCTGTGTCACAATTATAGGTCATGTGGTTACGCCGCAACGCAGACTGGGCATCCCTTTTAACCCTGGGTAATACCACTCACATTTCCGATCCCAGGTACAGCGTTAGTTTCCAATATCCAAACAACTGGAGACTGGCGATCGCCGGGGTGCGCAGGGAGGATCGTGGCTTGTACGTCTGTCAAGTGAACACGCACCCTCCGAGGATGCTCGTCACCAACGTTACTGTTCTGGGTAATGATCTTTTATTAATCAGAAAATTCAAGATTGCATCAAAAATCGAAAAGGGTTTCTCAATACGGTAAGTACAAAGAAGTTGTAAAACAAAAAATACAAAAAACGCGTATACATAAACAAAGAGTATGGAAAGTTTTTTTTCATTAATTATATTTTTTGAATATGTTAAGCATTACTCCTGAGAGTCGTGAAACGTTTATTAGGAAATCGTTGTTTTCATTTTTAATTATGTTGCTTTGTAGTACTTTTAAAATCAAAAACAATATCAGGATAAAAAAATTGTGTTTTTAAATTTTTCTTAATTTATATAATTAATTTTTGTACTTTGAATATGATTATTTTTCTCTAGAATTCTTGAGAAAAACAATTATAATGCAAAAGATTAAATATTATTCGATTATTTGATATAAAATAATTGAATTCATAAATATGTAAAACTTCAAAATTTAACAATGTATGTAGATCGTACATATATATGTATGTGTTAAATATTTGTTGCCATTCTCAATTGTTGATTTAACTAAAAAGATTATATCACGTTATCAAAACAAAATAAAGAATAATAATTTTTTAAAAATTTGTTAATTACATAGTTCATGATCGAATATATTTCTTTTTTTTTTTATTTCTTATTTGAAATTTAATTTTTTCGTAGAGAAATTTTTAACAAAAAATATTATTTTCGAATTTTCTGTATCTGTAGAACAATACTTTATCCATTCGTTTCATTCTTATTCAGTTAGCCAAGTGTACATGTACTCGACGAACGTTTAAATTCGATTTTCTCGAAAACGGTGTTTCAAACAAAAAAATTTTATTCTTTGTTTTTTTTGTATTTCTATACGTGTATATCGAATAATATCCTGTCCAGTTGAACTACATGTGCTGTCACGTACATGTATAGTTTTATAAAAATTGGAAAAGACATTTATACCATTTACAAAGAGATATTGTTTATGTATATTTTTTAAACAAATGGATTTTTTTATAATCTTATTTTAGATTATCAATATTGAAATCCTTTATCATATTCAGACAGGTACAAAGGATTTTCATATATTGTATTGATACAATCGTATTGATAATCTGGAATTTATAAGAATTTTGATAAATAATTGCAATTTCGATTTTATATCATAAATAACAAAATATTTATTTTTAATATATTATTTTATATATTTAATATATTAGTATTATTTTTTAAATAAGAAATTAAAGATTACAGAAAATTTTATTGAAACTCTTTAAAGACACACAAGGCCATCTCAAATCTAAAATCTTAGGGATTTCAAGGTTATTTGAAATTTAGGGAGAGTGAATGATTTGAATATTTTGAATCTTTTGAAATTCTTCAATGCCTGAAATTCTGAAATTTCTACAAGTTTGGTCACATTGAATTATTACGTTCTAAAATCATTAGACATCTTTATTTTTGATAATGTTTAGTTTATCTGATTCTTTTATAACTTCAACATTCGCTTTAAAAATTGAATTTTATAATATCGATTGTTAAAAATTTTCTGCACATTCTAATTATTTTGAAAATTACACATTATTATTCAACTTAATGCGAAGAGAAATTTTTTAATGTAAATGAAATGAATGTGACGACAGCATCATTAGTAATACGATGCTAATTATCCAAATATCAAACGTCCAAGATGTTCAATTCCAAACATTTCTCAAGAACATCCGATCAATCATAATTTATTCAATAGGATATTCAGATTTCTTGGCAACAATTACTCAACAATTAAAAGATGCATTAATATAACGATCCGTGATGCATTTCATTGAAAAATAATTAAACCATCACAAAATTCAATCATTCCATTTCATTCATTTCTCAATAATTTCAAATATTGCAAATATACTCTCCCTCCCCTCTCATTATTAAATTTCGAACAATATTTACAAACTAACTTGAATCAAGAGAAAATATTAATGAGCAGAGAGATTCGATTAAAGTTCTTTAATTAATAAAACCAATGGAACAAGAGAGGAAATCAATGTTTCCGACGGAAATGCGTGAAAGGTTTCGCTTCATTGTTTATATTATTGATCGAAATTGTGGTGTAATTATGTTGTCATGGAGTTCGCAGAAAGTAACCATGTTTAATAAATGAGTTGTTATTGAACTTGGTGCACTTTGGTGTGCTTGTCTCGGGAATAAATAGAAACCTAACAAGATTCGAGATGCAACTGTTGGTTAATTAGATTGACTTTTCGAGAGGCATTTATTGATAATTTTGCTCTGATAAAAAGCAAATAGATATTACGCATCTAACATTTTGATATTGATAATATAATTATCATTATTTAATATTATTAATTTTTAAAATTTGATAAAATATCATATTTTTATCGTTATCTCATACTCATATCATAATTATTTATATTTATGCAACATCATATATTATTTTTTATATAAAGATTGAATTGTCAAATTGTGTATCTTCTGTTCGAACGAAAGAATAGTTCATCTTTAATACACATGGGAATTCTACAAGAAATACAAATATGGAGAATATTCCTCCCATTATAATCCCACAAAATCTCTTCGAATATAATCGTGTTCGTATATAACATTCGAAGTTAATGCGTTGCTATATTTAAAACGAATGCAAATTAACTTTGCCTGGATACAAAGACTTATTCCAGTCAAAATACCTCAAATATGTCTTGATAAATTATTCATTAAATTCCTTGCGTGTATTTTCTTAACAAAATTTTGATATACAAAGATTAAAAGGATTACTAAATTTCACACACGTATTCATACATAAAAAGAATGAAAAATATAGTTTTAAATGTAATAATAAAAAGCTTAACGGAGTAATTTTTTTCGAAAAATGATAAAAAATGTATAAAATATACAATGAAATATATGGCATAACCATGATTTCGATTCATTTCTTATACAACTTATCGGTGATAAATTGACATCGAAACAATGAAAAGTTCACAAATCTCGATTAAGTATTATTTTTCAAGTTATTAACAACTTAACATCACGCTACGAAGCGATATTATCAAATACCATCATCATTTAATCAAATTAAATCAAATTGTCTATAGCTTCGTTATACCTTTCGAATAAATGATTATTTCAAAATTTTTAATTACAAAAATTCTCTCATATCATTTTCTAAATCTTCACATTCTTCAATTCAAGCCCATTATTTACGTTACCATTAAAGCTTGAAAAATTCATGAAATCAGATACGGATGTAACGAATCACCACATCGCGAGACGGAAAACACGTGACGAAAAATCGTTAATTATGCACGTGACGCGTGAAAGGAATTTATCGCGTAGCTAATCAACTCACACGCGGAACCAATTTCAAACGACAGTTATATACCAAAAGTTTATAACACGATGGCGGATTTTCGCGAAGGCTGCCTCGAGCATCTCCCGGAAGTGAAGAAGTGGGGCGCGCAGGTTGATTTTATAGAACGTCGGAACGTATTTATACAAGAATTTGCAATTCCCCGACTGTGAACTGGATTACGTACCTCCTTTATTCCCCTTTGTCTCGACGGCATGATCAGGGGACTCGGACGAAATCGGTGCTTTGAGACCCTCGTTTCACGTCTGATTGTTTCTCAAATTGAACGATGGATGGGCGTACGATGGTAGCAATTGAGAAACGCTGTTCACTCCCGTCTACAAATTACATTTTTATAATGGCATTCTTTATCGTCCTCGTTCGAGGCGCGTGGTGCTTATAATTTCATATTAGAGGGAAAATCGTGGGAGCGTTTTAAATCTCAAAAGCGACTCGTTGTTCCATATTTCCAGGGAAGATATTTTAGACTTTCGTTGGATTTTTATTTTAAAGCTTCATTTTTTTTTTATTAGATTTTGGCTCGAATATATCTTTCTAAAGTGTTGCGAGATATTTTCTCGGAAATTAATGAAGATTATCGACTTTATCCTTTTTTTTTTTAGTTGTGTGAAAAATATTTTTTGAGAAAAAGATTGTGCATATTTCGAAAAAATTATAGCTATTTTAAATAAATAAACGAATAATATAAATTCCTTTTTATTATATAAACTATCAAATATAGTGATATCTGCATATTCAGAATTATTTTGGAATTAAATTGTAACTCGAAAGAAGTCTTATTCAACATTATTTATACAGATTGTTGTATTTAAATACAGTAAAATATTTTTATTTTGGAGTTCAATCTTTCAAAATTTCATTTTAACAATTCACAAATATTTCCTTAATTCTCTATGAATAATTTTTCAACCATGTTCAAATTGAAAAACGATTAAACAATAATTTGCATAACTTTTCTATCTTCTCACACATCGCGTAAAAATCTTTCATTCGGTATTCAATTTCTCATCGTATCTACTCGATTAATTCTATAACCTCCACGTGTATAAGTAAACTCGTCTGTATTATAATCAATTTTTCCCGGCACAAAAGACGATAGCAACGAGCAATCGATAGGCGCGGTCAACAACATTCCATCGCGGAAGAAGATGAGAAAATAATTTTCCCGTGAGCGGACACCAATCAAAGAGTGGAGAATGTTGACATAATTTTTAAAGAATATCGATAGAGGCGTCGCATCGAGGAACACAGAGAACGGACGAGGAAACGAGTGATTAATGTTCACGCATCCCGCTTTTCCTCCCTTTCAATAAAGACCTCCTTTTGTGACCGAACCCATATTCCCTCTTCTAAATTATCGACTGGTTCTCGCTTTTTAAATCGAAAAACCGTTCAGCCTGGCATATCGAGGCTGCAGTTCGAATACTCTCGAATGCTCTCGATCCCTCTCCAGTGCCAACATCGAAGCTGCCTACTTCAAATTGCTATTTTCTCTTCGCGACTCAGTTTACAGATCGTCCCCCGGAACCACCGTCGAAACTTTCAACCGACACTCGGGGATGGCCCATTTTAAATTCTCGTTAACGTTTGCCGAGCCTCCACGAGTCTAGGTTGATCTTTAATTCACCAGCCACGGCTTGGATC